CCTAACCCTAACCCTAACCCTAACCCCCCGCCCCAGTGCCAGGGCAGCCCAAACCAGGAGCAGCAAGGCAGCAAGTGGAGAAACCCCAGCACTCCGTCCTGGGACCTTCAGCTTGAGCCCAGGGCATAAATCCTGCTCGGTGAAAGAGCAAAGGGGCCCCAACAGCCTTTGCACCCCGTCTTCTCAGGGCCAGCTCACTCTCTTCCCAGGACACCGTTTCTAGTCCCTTGGCCATCCCGAAACATTCCCAGGTTCCCCATATCCTTCTTCAAGCATGTTGGATAAATATAACAACTGGGGTTTCTTAACCCAAGTCACAGACCCACCTGCCATGTGACTCTCACTATGGGGAGTGTATTGTTGGTCTGAGTATGTGGCACCAGGAAGGAGCCGACTCTTAGTAACCACACCGTTCCTTTTTCTTTGATAACCTTTCAAGGAAGGAAGGAAGGAAGGAAGGAAGGAAGGAAGGATCGCCTCAGTATTAATTTTCCTGCATCATCATATTATTTGTTTCCAATTTGTTTTGCTTTTCCACAAGTCCACCATGCATGATAAATTGCCCCTCCGTGTTTTTCATATTTCCAACATTAACAAGAGTACCTTTATATACCTCTGAATTTCTCTGCGTCCAACAGTATATCATTCTGTGAAAATCCTCTTAAACTAAAACACGGTGTGAATTCCAGTCTCTTTTCCCACACTGCATCCTATTGATCCATCTGTATATTATAGCCAAAATTCTTATCCCGTTTTATCATGCAGTCTTTATGTCTGTGGAGATTCTCAGTCAGGGTTGTCCCAGAGGTGCTTTTTCAAAAGGCCACTGGGCTTTCTTGTTTTTTGCTTGAAGAACATTTTGCTTCTCCAAGAACCTTCCCACCATTCAGTCAGAACTGAAGAAGATTCTTGGAGGAGAAGTGAAACATCTTCAAGCAAAAACAAAGAAAATCTAGTTGCCTTTTGAAAATAAACACCTCTGGGACATGCAGTCTTTACATTAAATAGTTCTCTTAATTGTACATATAAAAACCCTTGAAAACTAACTAGCCCTCTGCGGTTAATTGCTCTCTTGACTTCATCTTCAGCTGTCCATGTGTACTCAGGAATTTTCTCAACGCAAAACGACAAAAGCATCAATACTCTTTCTATCTTGATTTCCCAAAAGCTGGTATTGTTTGAGCCTAACCATGATGTCGTATCACCCCTGAGCACGTGGGGACACACCTCGGTCTCCTGACTCTGTCTTCTCCTCTGTTCTCTCATCTGGATGGTCACAAGCTTGTTAGTTTTGCATTTTAGCCAAGCCGCTGACCTTTGTTGCCCAGCTCTGAACAAAGAGGGAGACCTTTCCTGGTGGGCTGCAGGCCAAATGCCCACTGGGTCCGGAGCCAACACAAACGTATCCTGTTTGGAGAACGTCAATGGGTAAGATCAGCCTGGCAGCCGGGGCCCTCGTGGCATCGGGGCCCAGCCAAGAAAAACCCCGTTATCTCGGTGGCTGCACGCCTGGATGGAGGGTGACGCAAGCCCCTGCGAGGGTGGGGGTCACGGGGAGCCCCCCGGGCTCTATAAGAGCAGGAGGCCCTGCGAGTGCCAGTCACCTGCCTCCGAGTCTCCGCATATTCTTGGGCTGAGAAGGAGAAAGGGACTAGCGAGATGAAATCCTATCTCTTCGCTTTGGGCCTTGCCCTCTGCTGCGTCGTCCAGGCTGAATGGAAAGAAGTGACCACAATCAGCAACCAGGTAGACCAATGTGGCTGGAGCAGGGCTGGCTTGCTTTGGGTTGATTGTTCAGGGGACCCCAATATTGTAATCACAAGTACGGAAAGTGATCACGTCTCTTGATGTGATACAAAGAGATCCACTAATGTGGAGAGCTGAAGGTAAATTGCGACAGGTCTCCACCGTCTCTCTCTAGGCCAAGGGACCAGCCAGGGGGTTTGCCGCAGCCAGAGGTGGTCGCTCCAGACTGGGGAAGAGAGTGGTTGCATCGTTCATCTCTCCCTCAATCTGTGACTGAGAACACTTGAATTTGGGTCTGGGAGGGGGGTGTCTGCTTCTGCAGCCGCCCCATGTAAGTACTCTTTCTGCAGTGAATCAACTGAATCGGTGTTCACTTTGATCCCTCCGTTGGTGGGACAACGCAAAGAAAGCCATTTGCTGCAGCTGCATCTAAATTCTAGTCCAGCCCTCTGCCCAAGACAGGAGACCCTCTGCCATTCCAGACAAATGTTTCTCCAGTCCCTTCTTGAAAACCTCCAGTGATGGAGCACCCACAACTTCTGGAGGCAGGCTGTTCCACTGGCTGATTGTTCTTACTGTCAGGAAATTTCTCCTTAATTCCAGGTTGGATCGCTCTTTGATAAGCTTCCATCCGTTGTTTCTTGTCCTGCCTTCAGGTGCTTTGGAGAGTAGTTGACCCCCTCTATTTCTTTAGCGGCAAGTGGACTTTGCTCAAGGCAGGACCAGCTCCCTTGACTGAAACTGGAATCGCACAGCTGCGGGAATAGCCTCAAGTGAGAGCCTCGAGTGAGCAGACGGGAGGCTGGTCCTTTCCAGACACTCAGTGGCTCCCCTTCCCTCTTTCTGCTTCAGGATATGGGTCCCTGGATAAGCTTTGCTGTTGCGTGTAACTCATCATTCTGCCTGGACCAGATAAGAAACATGTCAGCATTTATTGCAGAGGTGTCACAACCAGAGGAAGGAGTATTTAGCATTCGGATCTTTATCCACATGTAAGTATCCTAGCTCAAGCCAAGCCCTTGTGGACTTGACTGCAATGCATTAGACAAGGCCAGCCTTATCACAAGAGCCCAGCAGACTGGAAGGGTGGATTTCTGAGGTGGATTTGAAGGAGGAGGACAGAGGGATCCTCCTGTGAGGCTGAAGTAAGGGACAGCCGCATGCCAGCGCGGGAGAAAGCCCGAGTAGCAGAGAAGTGAAGGCATCTGTTGAGGTTCTTCAGCCACTGAAGTCCAGCTATGACTCTGAAATGCCTCAAACTAGCAGAGCGCCATTCTGGCGGATGCCCCCAAAGACTAAGAGGCCAGAAAGAGCAGCTGGGGCTGTGCAGCCAGATGCAGCTCGAGCAGATGGAAATGCTCACCAATCTTGACCAGCAACCAAATGGACGGAGGCAGAAAGAGGCCTCTGGGAAGCCCACAGCCAGAGACAGTGAAGGCGGGATGGCTCAGCTCAGGGGTGCTTCCCACTGTGTGGGGCAACCTAGAAAACCTTCCTCGATAGGTCAGTTCAGATTAATGTTCAATAGTGGGACTCCCAGCCCCCCCCCTTGACTGTTCCTCTCCAAAGGAACAGTGGTCAGCCTCATCAACTCTCTCCTCCTCCTCTCTTGCAGGCCGGACGGGTGCAAGGACGTAACGTATCAGTATAAGAAAGGAGAAGATGGGAAATACCGCAGTTTCTATGGTCTGTACTGGTGAAGGGCTGCCATGTCTACCTCCTTGATTTGGTCACCCATAAACACCGGGGCCCGGGGAGCCGTGCGGCTTCTTGCTTTGCACTCAACTCCAGCAAAAAGATGCTGGGGAGCAGATGGTGGGCAAGCCTGCCCCACCCGCCCCATAGCGTCTCTTCCAGTGCGGGATGGTGGGGACACGGAGCCTAAGCATGTCTCCTGCTCTCCTGGGACTGTCTCGCTTCAGGCACGTTGGCCTTTGGGGACCCAGTCAGTGTAAAGGGGCCGCAGGGCCACTTACTGGGCAAGTCCATCCGTGACCGGATTGAGAGACTGACATTCAGACGGCCTCCAGCGGTCGTGGGTGCTCCGTCGCTGGAGGTTTTGAAGAAGAGATTGGACGGCTACTTGTCCGAAATGGTGTAGGGTCTCCTGCTCAAGCAGGCGGTTGGACCCGAAGACCTCGAAGGTCCCTTCCAACGGTGCTATTCTGTCATTCTGAGAGGGTGACCTTCCAAGAACTGCAGTTGCTCCTTCTTAAAGAGTATATACTGTAAATCCTTTTAAGCCATATGTTATTTCAAAATATAAACCTTTCCTTCCTATCTTTTCCATTGAAAAGAGATGATTGGGTAGCTTTGAGTCCCCTGATCCCTGAGGGTCCCAGTGCGAGAACCACTTGGGGGGAGGGTTAGGGTTAGGGAGAGAGAGGTGAAATGGCATTATATACCAGAATGCCTCCTGTACATGAAATACAGAGGTTCTATTCCATTCTCCGAGGGACATAAACGGAAGGTCCTTCCACAAAGTCCGAACCTGTTTGGGACGCAGCAAGTTGCTTTCTTTGCAGCTCATACAAAAAGACTAAAGGGGGGAAAGGCGGCGGGAAGGGCTGCCCCTTCCTCGGAGCCCGACAAGGCGCAAAAGTCCCTCCTAAAAATACTACATTATAAAGGTTAAAGGATGTTAATATTACTATTATCTTTTAGATTTAAATTGTAATTTCTGCAGTTTGATTTTATAATAATTAAAAATCCTTTTATGATAGGTACGCATGGCTATTGCCTGTAATATACCTGAAACTTATCTGGAGACTTATGAGATAAACCGTTCTGTCTAATGAGCCAACGCTGAGGTTCCAGCTTGCAAAATGTGGCCAGCTTGGCTAGATTTGGCTCTGCCTGAGTCTCCCCCTCCCCCCGCCCTCATGCCCCAAACCTTTTCTGGCAGATGATTCAGTGGTGACAGTGGAGTCCGTGAAGGCCAAAAATGAGTACGTCATGTCCATCATCAACGTCAACAACGAGTTCAGAACCGCCACACTTCACGGTAGGTACCCCAAGGCCCATCATCCTGCAAGGAGGGAGAAGGCAGTCTTGGCCTTTGATCTCCTTTGTCCTCATCTCGCCCATCTTTATGCATTTTCCTACAAGTTAAGATTCTGGGCTTCTGAAAGGTTTAAGAGTCTGCTTCAGCATTTATTTATCTGGTTCCTTTTTAATATGACTGTTCTATTTCAGTTTATTGAGCAGTGGGTTGGACTAGAAGACCTCCGAGATCCCTTCCCACTCTGTTATTCTGTAATTTCTGTACATTTTTGGAGGAAGAAAGTTAGAGTTGCCAGGTCTGCTTCCAAAAAATAGCGGACAAGCGGGGAGGGGGTGTTAAGTAGTAAAAAAAAGTAGACAGTACAGCTTTAGATTACGTACCATTTCATCATAAAGCTTTTGAATAACAAAAATGTCCACTATTTTGTGAAAAAAAATAGTGAAGATAATGTGAAAAAAGTGGACTGTCCACTGGCAACCCTAAAGAAAGTGGAGGGAGGCAAGATCCTGATACAATAGGAAACCCCTGATTAAGCCTGCCACCCCCCCCCCCCGCCTTCTGAAAAAAATCTCTCCTTCCTCATTCAACACACAGCTCTCCTCTGTCCCTGTCCCCACAGGTCGGAAAGTAACCCAGGATCCAGAGATACTTCAGAATTTTAATGATGAATGTAAAAAGCTCGGCTACAAAGAAGATGAGATTGTGGTTTTAAACCCAACCGGTAATGCAATTCAGAGCAGAAAAGTAACAAATAGATGAGGGCAGGTTTGGTGGAGGGGTTAAAGCCTCCAGGCTTTGGTATGAAACTGGAGTTCTAGTCCTGCCTTAAGCACAGAAGTCATTGGGTTTTAAGCACAGAAGTCATTGTCTCTCCCCAGGCAAAACACAATGAAAAATGTGGCCACAAACACAGCAGAGAAGTTGACTCAAAGGCAGAGATAAAGAGAGATAGATGGTGGATGGATGGACAGATAGATAGATAGATAGATAGATAGATAGATAGATAGATAGATAGATAGATAGATAGATAGATAGATAGATAGATAGATAGATAGATAGATCTAAATAGAGATAGAGGTAGAATTCATGGGAAGGGACTTCTTGAAATCTCTTCTGAGTATGTCTTAGGTAGAAAGATGGTGCAGATGGGTGGTCTACATGCAAGGGCAGGGGGGGATCATGTTGATGGGCAGATGACCTAAGGACTGACCTTTCCTTGTAAAGCATCTTGTATTCATTCCATTCACCATTAATTGCCCCCTTTTCTCCCCCACAGTGAAGTGCCAGAAAGAAGAATAGGTGAGTTTTCTCAGGTGGCCCACCCCTTTCACAACGCCAAATCCTTCCCATTTGCAGCTACAATTCCCCCCCCCCCATTCCACTCACTTGGCTCCTTTCCTTGCAGGTGACCAAAGGGGAGGCCTCGAAACTGCCGGGAGCAGCGGCTGGGCTTGTTTCGGGCTTGGCTCAAATTCCAGGGAGGAATCTTAATAAATAGACTCCGAAAACGCAACTCCTGTCTTGTGTGTGACTTTTATTTCTGCCACCTGTCCATTTGCACTGTGGGGCGATTTTGATCTGTGGGTTGGAGGTGGGAGAGGATCCAGTGGAGGAACGAAGGGCGGATCTGAATTAAAAAGGGTAGGGGTCCCAATAGTTGGGTGGGTTTGTGTAGCAGAATAGCTGGCCCACCGGGCCACCCCAGGCTGTTCCTGCAGGACTTTTGCCCCCTCCATGGGGCAGGGCAGGACTGTCTCCTCTGGAAAAGCACCTCAACTCTCTGATGTGGGGCAGGTGGTAGGACCTTCCCCTGCTGGGGAAGGCCAAGGTGCCGGGCAAGGATGGGATTAGACCCTTCCAGCTCAGGAGCTCCCCGGGGGCTCCAGGCTGGACCCCATCCCAAATGGTCCTTCCCACAGCCTGTGGCCATTTCTGCTTCTCTTGGGAAACTGCCTGCCAGCCCCGCCCTGATGGAGGGGGCTAGATGGGCAGTGCATGAGGGTGGCTGATGAAAAGAGAGCTGAACTGGCAGCCTCTTGTGAGGGGTGGGATGCCAGTCCCCCCAAAGGGGAAAAGCTAAGGAGAGCCAGCCCTTCTCAGGGTCACTCTGCCTCCTGACCCGGGCAAGAGGACACGGGGCTCTCCGACCTGCCCTGGCAGATGAGGAGGAAGGACTTGAAGTTCCCTGAGTCCCAGACCAATTTTGGGCAGGCGGGAAAAAACACACAACTGGAAAACGGCTTCCTGCAAACAACACAATGAACTTTCTGGTTCAGAACACAGGCCTGGCAGGGCACACTCGGTGTGCTTGGCTCAGTGGGCAGCATCTCGAGAGGGCCACAAAGCAAGATTCAGCCCCATCATGGATGTGGGAAGGGCCTCCCAGAGGCCCATCTTTCCTCCCAATGTTGGGGGGCAGGAGGGCAATTGTGAGTCCTTGTTACAACTGAGCTTCCTTGTTTTCTTGCAGATATTTCATTACCAAACTAGGTAACATCATCAGTGCACCTTTGGGGAAGCACCAGAGTAGGTGCAAAGTGGCACTTTGGTATCGGGACCCTCTTGTGCCCTCTGGACCAAACCTTTGCATTGGAGCTGTGACACACACACACACACACACACACACACACACACACACACACACACTGAGGCTGCTGAGGAGGGAAGGCACTGCTCCCAAGTTCTCTCTGCAGGGAACGTCCCATCCTGCTGTGTTCCGAAGGGCAGCCAGCCGGGCCCCATTTCTCCTGTCAACGGTCCATGCCGTCCTCTTTCGATAGCTTCCTGGACAAGGGCGGATTCACCTGGATGACCGTCTGGAGGATAAAAGACCGTCTGGGCAAAGCTGAGCACCCAGAAGGGCAACAGAGTGGCAGCAATGAAGCTCCTGCTGGGCAGCCTTCTCCTGGTTGGCGTCTGCTGGCTTGGAGACGCAACGGACATCCCCGTCATGCCGAACTTCAGTAACCAAAGGGTCAGAGCTGAAAATCCTGGAAGGAATTTCTTCTCCTCCCAACTCTAAGTAGGAGAGAAGCCCAGGGGGCCCTGGGGGGGCCCTTGGTGCTGGGTGGTTGGCTGGGAGGCATTTCACGACCCAACTAGGGAACATCATCAGCCCTGCAAGGGTCGGCTTTCCTTACAAATGGTGCAAGGGAGTTTACGCAGGCCTGGCACGAAGAGTTTGGGAGCCCCTCCCCTTCAGTTTGGGAGGAGAAGCCTCAATGGCTGTCTCTCTTCTGGGCTCCAGAGAGGCGTCTTCCCCACTGCCAGATTTTCACCAAATTTCCTTTGGCCAGGTCTTTGGTGTGTCTCCCCGATTCAGCACCCAATTCTGGTGGACAGCGTGAAACCCTCTGCCAGGCAAATGGGCTTCCCCAGAGGGCACGCTCGGTTAACTGACTCTGCTCCTGGCGCTCCTGGCATGGCCCTGAGAGCTTCCCCAGGTCTGGCAGGAAGGATTCGGACTTGGGGGGCCCTCTGGGGGGCCCTCCCCTTTGGTGCTAACAGACTCTCCTGGTTTCCCCTTTTTCTAGGTTGCTGGGAATTGGTACCCTCTCGCAAGCATAGTTATTGAAAAGCAGTTCCCCCAATACACATTAAAGGCCGAACCAAAAGGAGATCTGATGTACACCTTTAACTCTCTTGAGTGAGTGTTGGGGGCTGTAATGCCCTCGCTGTCCTGGCTGAGGGTTCCCCTCCCCCAGAAGGCAGGTGGGGGAAAGCCTGAAGGAAAAGGGGGTGCAGCTTTGGACTCCCCTATCCATCAACCCAGATATTGGGAGATTACTGGGCCTGTCTCTGCTTGGCTCCCTCTAAAGTTTGTGTGGTTCCCTTTTCTTTCCAGAAACGGCCAGTGCAAGACTAGACAGCTCCCGTTCACTAAATATCAGACGCCGGGGAAATTCAAGACCTCAAGTAAGTGGGGAATCCCCCCTTCTTTCATCCGAATTGCTGACCACCCCCTTCGCTTCTTTCATGCTCCCCAAGAGGATTCATAGGCCCCTCCTTGGAGGATCAGGGCTGGGGCTGAGCCACCCCCCCAGGAGACGGTGGATTCTCGAGAGATGGGCGGGGGGGGGGTTATAGGCTCCTGCCCTGAAGGTGATTTTAAGCAGCTTCTCTTTTGCACGGAAGGCCCCACCTTCGGCCAAATCGTGGATACGGATTATGAAACCTACTTGATTATTTACTTCATTCTGGGGTTGGACACCTTCCTGACACTTGATGGTAAGAGAGCTGGGGATGGTGGGGGGCTGTTCGGGAGAGACCCTCACCCTTGTCCTGGCCCTTCCTAGTGTTGCTGGCAGCAACGCAAGGCCCTCCCTTTGCTTGTCGCCCCCAGTGGGCCACCTCCACCACTCTCTTTGGGGTGCCAGATGGGACCTCCATGGTGAGGCATCTCCCCTCCCCCCTGGCATCTCTGCCCCAGGGCAAACACTTCCCTCCCACGCCTCTAGATCTCCCCCCTCTGATTGTCTCCATCCTTCCACCAGGAAATTTGGGGGCAAAGCTCTGAGTCAGAGCAGCACCCCCAAACCCAAGCCCTCCTGCCACTGTCTCTCTCAAACTTCATGCTTCCTCTAGGCAGACAGCAAAACTTAACGCCAGATTTGGAGACGAAATTCAAGAACGTTGCTGCCTCTGCAGGAATCACAGGAGAGGTTGTGCCCGTTGTCTTGAAAGGTAACCCTTCGGTCCTCCAGGTCACCTCTTCTGGGCTCCCCAGGACACCAGTGAAGGATGCCGCGGCCTCCTCCTCCAGCTCCTCCTGTTCCTCATTTCTCCTCCACCTGCTCCTCTTCCTCCTTCTGCTGCTGCTCCTGGGATGACTCTTCTCTCTTCTCTCCTCTGCAGAAACTTGCTAAGAGTTCAAGGCGGAGAAGTGCAGATATGGAGCACAGTCAGCAAACCTCCACCCCAGTTGGGAAAGGATGAAGACCCCGTCTCTGCTAAAAGGGCCCCTGCAGGCGGCTCCCATCCTGCCAGCCAGAAGGCCGATGCCAACCCTTGCTTGTCAAATAAAGCATAAATAAAACACAGCAAACAAAAGAATTGTGTGTGATTTTTCTCATTGCTCTCCCGAAGAAGGTGCCCCCCCCCGACCTGCTGGCCATCTTGCCTCTCCTGGGCTGAGGGGTCCTTCCTCCCTCACAGGCGCTTGGCCTGGCCCTCCTGGGGGTCCCCTTGGTCTCTTGGCACCAACCCAGCAGGAGCTCTTTAGTCACCCGCCATTCCACTCGTAAAGCCCAGGGGGCCCCCAAGAATAAATAAAGGGCTCCCCCAAACCCAGAAAAGGCACCCCATCTCTGGAA